ATCTTTTTTTTCATAATTTTTAAAAAATAAAACGAATAAATATTAACCCTTTAATCAACATTTAATGTAATTATTAAATATTAAAATATTAATAAAAAAATGACAATGATACGTTTACCCTCTTTTATCACACACTCCGTTACACCCACTTAGTCTCCGTTATTTTCCCGTCAACTTTCAAACGCCCCCAGCCCAACTCTTTCTCTCTCTTTCTTTTCCTATCTCTGTAGTTCCAGTTGATTCTCGAATATCTCCAATCATTCCCTTGTTTTCTCAAATGGTCTATCGCTGCCACGATGCTTTTCCATTTCTTGTGGGTCGTTGGACAGTAGAACATCTAAGGAAGAACACTGGAGAGAGAAGCATTAAACCTTGAAGCAAATCTAGTGAAAGCATCAAACCCAGAAGCAGATTTGGAGGAAGCAGGGGAAACGGCGCTGCAGGGTGGTGGTGGTGAAAGCAGATTTGTTAGAGGCGGGTTCGAAGGAATCGAGGTTGTTAAGAGGAAGATGAGGCTGCAAATGATTAGGATGAGGATGGAGGTGAGAAGGAAGATGGATCTGGTGAGGATGCTGAACAGTAAGGGGATAGGAAATGAGAGAGAGAGAGAGAAAGAAAGGGCTGGGCTGGGTGCTTAACGGAAAGTAATTGCTAGGTTGCTGCTGGGTCAATCGAAGGAACCCAACTCGAAGCATGTTCTCAATCGCTTCTTTTCTCCCATAATATGCAATTCCCAATACACAATCGAGGTTGCAACTTGAATCGAAATGTTTTCTGAGCGCAAGAGGTTGATGATTCTCATGATTTCTTTATATGTTTCCAGTTCATCAACCAAAGGGATTTTGATGGTTTTGATCAACAAGGAGGATGGTGAACAATAAGAAGGAGAGAGGAAAGGAAAGAGAAAGAAAAAGAAAGGGTTAGGCTACGTGTTTAACAAAAATTAACGGAGTTTAAGAGAGTAAGCGAGTGTAACAAAGTATGTGATAAAAGAGGATAAACGTAACATTGTCCTAAAAAAAATCATCAAGTAATCCAAACAGAATCTTAATAATCTGTCATTCAAAATTTTTTCTTCTCTTTTAACGATCGATGTGTCAGTGCTGCTGTGTTGGGATCTTGTTTTCTGGATTTCAAAATTAATTGTTTATTAGACTGCGAAAATGTTTATAAAAAAACAAAAAAAGTGACGAAAATAAAATTGGTTAAAACTCGGACTGTATGTAAAATTCATTCTGATGTGATGTTTGATGGGATCTGGGTTGCTTAAGTACTAATCAATTGATAGCTTAACATGAATAAAATAGTAAAAAGTCAGTCTGGAATTCTGACATTAGAATACAACCTTAAACGATAGTAAAATTTCAACCCATATTTGAAGAACAGTCTTCGTGGGTGATTTATAAATGTATTTAATATTTTAATAACGATTAAAATTCAAATTATAATATTATAATTTTATAATTTTTTTATCTGTTTACTTCAAATTGTACCTAATTTTAATAAAAAAAAACATATTTGTATTACATTAACAACTTTTGATAAATTAATAATGTACATTAAATATTTTGATCTATATCAATATTTCTGTCTTTATTAAAAGAGTTATAGCTTTTTTTTTCCCAAAATTTCCCCTATTAAAAAAGTAAAAATAAAAAACTTGTAAACTAATTATATAAAGTATAAACATCTTAAGTAAGAAAATCTAAGCTTCAAATCTTAACATAAAAAACCATCACTTTCCTCTCCTTTATCATGAATCCAAAATATCACTAAAATTTTCATTTTCATTTCAGATTTTTCAACGTCTCCAAACATTTTATCAGACTCTACTGCTATATAGATTACGAGATCTTAGTAATTTTGTTTCATCAAAGGACAAAAGAAGAAGCTTCCTTCTTCAAAAAGAAAATTAAGTTCTCTTCAATCCTTTTTTTTTTTTTTTTAATTATTTTCCCTTTGAGTGAAGCTGTAAAAAATTTGCCAGAATGTATCATCCTTGAATGACTTCCCAATTTCAAAATCAAAGTCCCTTAACAAGAAATCCACCGCACTTGGGAAAATGCTAAAAAGGTACGAAATTTTTTTGAATTTCAATTCAACCACCCACAATCAAATTCATTCCCCACGCAAAGCTCATGCCCTTTTTCCCTTAACCCCTCCACCTTGGCTCCTTCTTGATTCACATCAAGATTCAAGAATATATATATATATATATATATATATATATGTTTAACAAAAAATAAAAAATAGAAAATATTGCAAAGTCTTGTAATTTGCAACTATTCTTATATAGGATACCTCTTTTCTTCCCTAACTATTACTCTAATTTAAAAACAAAATGTAAAAGTATCATCTAATAAATAAAGACTTCATAAAATATAGTAACAATTGGTAATATTCTAATTAAAAAAAAAAAAAAACCAGCTTAAAGAGAGAACAAATACAGAAACAATAATATGGATTCATGGATTGTACTCATTGCCCACAAAAAGCGATCAAATAGTCCGATCCGGAGCAGGTACAAGTACTAGAAGCGTCGTCGTAAGCGTAACTGTACGCGGTGGGGCACGCACTCTTGAACATCGCCGAGTACTGCGTCGGCGAGCAGGTCTGCGGCGTGGCGTGGTCGCCAGTGCAGCAGTACTCCGACGTACTGAATGCCGCGCAGGCGCTCTTGCACGCCACGACGGAACCCGACTCCACGACCTGTAATTCCGCTGGGCAATTCGCATTGAGATCCGCCACGCATCCCGCGTACTGACAATCCCCGGAACCGCCACCAACCGGTCTGACACCTAAAGCCACATTGTAACCGTCCACAAGGCTGACGTCGTAGAAATCCTTGGAATTCGTATTGCCCGCAACTGTGAATTCCACGAGAGAGACTGGTGTTGCCCCATATCCGTTACACTTGAGCACGCCACCGCAGTCGCCAGTGACGCACCTTCCGTTACCGGACTCGTCAAACGAGCAGCCGGTTCTCGCCCAAAAACGGCCAGACCACCCTGGTGGGACTGGGAACTGGACTGATGCACCGGGTGCCAATTCGAATCCACCGCCACCGAGAATCGCAGCCCCAACAGCGGCGAGAGTACCGGGCCATATTGTATAGCTGCAATGATTTTCGAGAGTTATAACCGTCGCAGAACTTAATATCCCTGAAAATTAAATTTTCCATTAATTGAACATCAGTTGCACAGACTTAACCCTAAAATCATTTAACAAATAACCAATGCTGCTAAAAGGCTAAAACAGCACAATTTTTTTTCAAACCAGTAGCTAGAGATAGATAAGTCAAGTTAGGACTCAGTAATTACAAGATTGGACAAGAGTTCAAATCTTTACAATAGCTGAACATACAGAAAATAAGATGACAAGTAGAAAAGAGGAGGAACAAGATAGTTACCCAAAGAGGAGAGGAGAAGATGGAGAAGGAGTTTGAAGCCAATTATCGCCATTAGTGTGTGAGAGAAATATAAAAGAAGATGGGCAGTTGAGCTTTGTGAAGAAGGAATTTAAAGGGGTTAGGGTGAATGCAGTTGGAACGTGTCATCGTGGAAATATTATGCATGAAGGTTTATTATAATTAGAAGAGGGTGCATCCCTAGATTTTTGCCTTAATTTAAATGTTGACTATCTTTTCGTGATTTGGAGGTCCTCTTTGAAACATGAAATAAATTGGAGGATTTGCAGTGGCCGGCCGGTTTTTATTATTATTATTATTTTTGCTAACTACTTAATAAATAATTAAATAATAATCACTTTTTAATTAAAAATAAGAGATTTGAGTTCAAATTGTATAATATATAAAAAAATGATTATTTTTCGTTATATAATCTTAAATAATAATAAAAAAAAAAAAAGACTTTTTGGTTTGAATGGCAATGGTTTTGGGTTAGTTGGTGCGTCATTGAGAAATAAATTCATTTGTGAGGGAATTGATGAGTGCACTGTACATCCTTCATGCTGTTTTTAAAGAAATTTAGTATTTAAGATTTAAATTATAAACTTAAACTGTAATACAAAGACAGTAAATTAATTCGTCCTTAATTTACTTTCAATTTTAACCTCTGCTTAACAATAAGTTTTCAATAAATAAAGTATATTATCCGAACGGCACCAACATGGATCAGAGTTCCTAAATATAGGGCGAACATCTCATCTCATAACACACCCACATTTTGCCCTTTAAAATGCCAAAATTATTCAACTATTAAATATATATTTTTTAAGTGTATAATTCCTTAAGCGTAATATTTATGTACATCTAACATGTTATTTTTTTAATATTATATAATTTACTTATTTAATATTATATTATATTTTATATTTACTCGTAACATTACCATTTTTTTACCATGTTTTTGGTTTTTTTTTTATATATATTAGATACATAACGAGAGTCAACTTTTTTTTATTTTTTATCTCATTTAACTAATATGACATATAATTTAAATTTAAAATATTTTATTTTTAACGAAACTACTATTGAATAATTTAAGTTATAAACTGTTATTGGGCTTTAATTAAGAAGGCACCATAGATTTGGTACCGACGCTAAAATGTGGCGCGTCTGTTGAAAAACACACCGAATTGCCAAATCCGCTGCGTTTTAGGAGAGGGAATCAACTGAGAAAGTGTGGAAGAGGACCGCACGTGCAGAAGAAGCATCAATTCAGTTTCCCAGACATGTGTAGCAGAGCAAGTTGAGGAGGCTGTCGTGGAGCATTAAGGAATCGTGACCGCCCACGTGGCAAACATCAGCACAACCTTCGAATTCCCAGTCCCCCCACGTCCCTACTTCACTTCCCCTTCCACGTGCTTTCAAGTTTCACTGTCTCTGATAATTACCCTTGTTTAAGAGTTGAGCACGGAAAAATGTTGTTCTCCACGTTGTGGACGGTATGGTTTCACTCTATCTTTAAAGTGAAAACATTGTTGGGAGGTAGCAAGTTCAAACCCCCAGCAACCCCTTTCCCCCACCCCTAAACTAAAAATATAAAATGTTGTAGTCGACATTTACGTTGTTCAAAAAAAAAGAAAGCAAGGAAAAATGTAGTTCGTAAGATTGGACTGATTTGCTTGGATGATTCCGTGATCAATTGAACACCATGACTTGGATTAATTAACTGTTCAGTTTCTTCCTGGAAAAGAAGCTGAATAGGTTTTGTCGGCTCATGAGATGAGTTTTAGTCCTTTTGGTTGGACAAATCCATCATCCATTATACAAAATTACGAACTCTCCCGACACTTCCACGTCCATTTCTGCGGCAGCAAAATGAACGGGTTTCATTTCATCCCATGCTAAACGCGTTTCTGTTTAACTGCCCTTCTGT